GGATGACCAACTAGGTATTTTACAAAAATCGCAGGGAGGAAGAGTTTTCCATCTTTTCAGTATATGGAGTCCACGCAAGGTAACATTTTAAAATACACACACAGTATGCCTTAGTAGGTTAGAAAATTTATCTGACATCCCTAAAAGACTACTTTTGTTTTCAATGTTTTTGTGGGATTTTTTTTTGTTGTTGTTGTTGTTTGTGTTTGGTCTTTTGGGGGTTGGTATTTAAATTTTTTAAAAATAGTTTAGTTCACAGCAAAATTGAGCCAAAGTACAGAGTTCCCAATACCCCCATACCCCGTCTATGACTTCTCCTTCTGTTGACATCTGGCTTCACAGTCACACGTGTGTTACAATCTACACTGACACATCATTATCACCCAAAGTCCATAGTTTATATTAGCTTTTACTCTTGATAGAATACCTTTTATGGGTTTTTACAAAATATTGACATGTATCCGTCATTCTAGTATCATTCAGGATGGTTTCACACTGCTCTAAAAATCCTCTGTGCTCTGCCTATTCTTCTCCTCATCCTCCCTAGCCTTAATATTCTTAAGTGAAAATGTGCCTTTCTCCTTCTCCTTCCTCACCTACTTCATTCCTATTGTTCTCCTAGGTCTGCCATAGTGTCTGAGGGAGCTCCACTCCCAAGTCCCCACGCCCCCCCAGACTAGCCAGATTGTGATGAATGTGTAAATGATTAACAGACCTCAAAATGTAGCTCAGGTGTTCTCATTTTGAGCAAGCGTTGACCCCCCCACTCCTCCCCATCTCTGGAATAAGTGGACTCTCAGGAAGCACCAGAAAAGGATGTGAAGAGGGCCACCACTGGCCAGACTCACCCCCCACACACCCAAGGGAACTTCTGCTTTTCCTCTTTCTCCCTCCCCACCCTTCAGAGGGTATTGGTTATTTCAAAATTCCAAGACTCCTTTTCTCAAAATGGTTCTCCTGGCAGCAAATCCTCTGCCAGAGTGTATGTGGGTGGTTGAGTGGGCAGGGGCATTTGTAATTTAGAGCTGGCGTATGTATTAGAACCTCAGAGAGAGAAAGAGACATTTCAGTTCCCACTTTGCAGGTGCCTGCTTTGTATGTAAGAAGAGGCTGATTTCATCTTCTTTGTGATTACAATATTCACCTATCTCCTGTAAAACAAACAAACAAACAAAAACTCCCAGCCTCTCCAGGATATCCAATAAACCTCCCAACACTATCTAAAAAGTGGGTGTAAAATAACTTTTTTATAATAAAACAAATCATCTGATAACACAAGAAAAGGATTAGTGAGAGACTTGCTGAAATTCCAACTGCCTCTCCTCCCTGCACTCCCTCATCTTTGCAAAGATAAAGATTATGGTTGCCAAGGAAACAGGACCAGAGAGAAAGAGAGAAACTTTGTCTCATTTGGTTTCCCCCAGACTCACAAAGCAAGCTGGGCGGTAAACAGAGCTGGACAAGATTATTGTAGATTTATAATTTACTTAATCGAATTGCTTTTTATTCATAGTCATGCCTCAATGTACATTTGTCCCTCTCAAAGTTAGGTCTTGCACCTAGTTGCCCATTGTCTGATAAATAACAGAGCTTTAAAATTCATTGTCTGTGATTAAATTCAAATGCAGGACAGATGGCTTAGTCTGAGTATGTGTCAGACAGGCGAAGCACTTAAGATTTGCGACAGGCAAGACCAGGAATTAGCTGCTAAGTTTTTGCATTTATTCATACATTCATGTGCACCATGAATATGGCTGTAAAACATATCTAAGTGTTTGCACTTTACTCAAAATATTCCCAAACAAAGCAACAGCTCTCCTTTTGCCAAAACAGATGCCCTCATCTCAACCCCATTAACTCAAAATCCATTTTTTCTCGTGTTGTATGTATTTGGTACATTTCATTTACTTAGATGTTCAGGATGATAACAGCAATCTTTTGAACCTCCCCCACCCGCCGCATCCTGCCTGGAACCCACAATTTGGCCCTCACTTCATCTTTGTGGGCTTTTCTATTGAAATATTTAATTATTTTATTGAATAAACATTTGTCTGTGGAAATAAAGACCAACCAACTGAGAACAAGCGCAGGCTATTTATTCAGGGCTTGCTATATAGCAAGGGAGTCCACCACTGTCATTCGAGTGTTGGCAGAGACTCAAAGGACAAGGGGTAGCTTTATTGTGGGGAGGGAAGGCTTCAGGTTGACTGGCGGCTGTTGGCATGGGGAAGCTGCAGGCGGGCCAAGTAGAAGCAGGGCATCCAATAGTGACTGCTGAGGAGTATGTATTTGGCTTTTTCTGGTTGTGCCTAGGTTGGAAGCAAGGACAAAACCTAGGAAAGTTATCAGTTATTAATCAAGTCCTGGTGGTTTGAAGCTAATTTGTACAGAGGCTATTGTTTGGCTTTCTGGAACAATTGCTAGAGACAGTAGTCTGACTTCCAACGAGTCTGATTCACAGATAGCACGCTGGTTTCTTAGGCTGATAACTATAGATAATAGGTTGGTTTCCTGGGCTGCTTCCTGTCAATTGTGGGTCAGACTTCTTTTCTTTTAATGTATAGTTTGTCCATGATACATTTGTAGACTCGATGATCATCAATGGACATTTTACAAAGAGAAAAATACAAAAAAATATCAGCATAAAACTCAGTGAATTATCAAGTGTGACAAACACCCAGGGGCCCCATTTAAATGTTCTACAACTCATTTTTGGAAACCAGCTGTCAAGGAACATTTCTAGTCTCAGCAGAGATTTCCTTCCCTGTGCGCCTTCAGTCACGTCAGGGCAAGCCCACCAGCTGCAGGCCTCCTAGGACCGTGCCACCGAGTCTCAGAATGGAGTCTTCCAAAGAGGATGGACCCAGGCAGCCCCAGTTTCCCACAGTCAGGCTCAGCAGGCTGAATCACCTCTCTCCACATTCCTGGGCCTGGAGGACAGCCCAGAGAGCATGCCTTGAAATCCAGCTCCACCACTCCTTGGGCAAATTGTATAATCTCTCCAAACCTGTTTCTTCATCTACAACATGGGGGTAATAACAACTCCTGCTCTTGTAGGGTTGCTTGCTGGGAGAATGAATCAAGGAGGTGGATATGCAAACCCTTTATACAGCTCCTGGTACAGAATAAGCACTCAGATTTGTCTTTATGTACTTTTCCCAACAGTGTTTTAAATGACAACTGAAAACTACTGAGGACCTACTATGTGCTAGGCAGGAACTTGATGCTTTCTCTTTTAAATTTATTATATTATAAAATACTGCTAAAATCAAGATACTGGCAGATATGTTAAGAAACATCTCTGTACTTCCTAAATTTGTTGTGAGGCTTTAATGAGATTATTGTTAAGTACATCCTTAACAATATCCCCAGTTGAACATAATTACTCAATAAACAGGGCTACTATTTACAGTAACTGATTATCCACTAAAGTAGGCAATCCCATCTTCGACACTCTATCTATCCATTATCTGTTCTTCCTTTTTTCCAAATAGAATCACATAATCATGTGCAATGGCAATGTGCTCCTTTCCCCAGCCTCCCTTCCATCTTGGGAAGTTTATGCGACCTACCTCTGGCCAAGAAGAGATAAGTGTAAGCCTTCCAGGTGATCCTATTGGGTAAATTATTATTATCCCAAGAAAAAGAAAGTATATGTATATGGTATATGCCTTTCCCCATTGTCCCCATTCTGGTCACCTGGAAGGCAGATGTGATACTGTGACATACAGCTCACAGCATCCTGAGAACATGAGAACTAAAGGATCAAGCCCAGAATGAAAAGCAAACAGAAGAGCCCAGGTCCCTAATAGCCTTATGGTGGATGCTGCCCCAGCACTGAGTTGCTAACTTCCAAATGGTTTCACCACTGTGGCCAGATTCCTATGACATGCAACTTAAGGTCATCCAAACTCATGTGAGCCACTCTAAATGTATGAATAGAGTGAAAAATTAAGAATCTGAAATATCTTATTTAACGTTCCATCTAAGATGATAAAGAAAAGGAAGCCCAGAGAATGAAAGGTCTGTCCAGTCATCTCCACAGCAACCATTCTCCACCCTCCTGAAGATTAACATCAAGACCTTGAGAGCCCAAGTCCCACCCGTAGACTCCTGCCAACTCGCCTTTCTTCTTTGTCATTTGGTGTTATACGTATGGTGTCATCCACAGGGTTTCCATGGGTCATGAGCATTGAGCTCCTGGAATCTGAGGGCTCAGACACTTGTTCCCAGAGGCTTGGCTGTACACCAGCCTCACCCAGCAAGGAACCCAATGATCCTTCTGTCAAGCCCGAGGCATCTGCTCGGGCATCTTGGTCAAAGTCCAAAGACTGTAATTGTATTGTGCCTACTTGTGAGGTCTCCTAGAGTTCCAATTAGGTAGTATTTATTTTCTGGCTAGAAAAGATCACACTGAACATTGCTCTGCACACTAAAATAAGGAGTCCAACCCAAGTGATAAAGGAGCATCTCAGTGTGACATGAAGCCACCATGAGGGTGGGGCAGGAGGCTTCATCTGTCAACTTGAAAGCTGCTAAATGTGCCTAAGGGGTTGCACTTGGGCTCTCCTGCACCATTACAGAGAAAAAAAAATATGCATACACTTATATTTACTTTAAATGGTTTCTAAAGGGGATGTCAGTAAAGAGAACTCCAGCCCCCTCTCTATCAAAGTATAACCCACACAAAGAATACAAAAACCAAAATCCATCTAATATAAAGTATTCGATCTCAATCTTACATAGCCTGTGACTTTTTATATCCCAAGCTATGATAAACACATAAATGAGGGCTTTTCCTTTGCTTGAAGAGATTCTAACAGCCAAAGGTTTTATTTCATGCATGGAGCTACTTTAATAAACACGTGACAAAACAGTGAGATAAATCACATTCAAAAAATATTTGAAATGTCCATCCGTGAGTAAATAAAAAAGGCTCCAGTTTTCAATGCCTAATATCATGTTATATTCAAATAATGACAAGACACACACACACACAATGAAGAGAAAATCTCTAATAATTTATTGACCTTCAGTTTCACATTGTGAAAAAAAAAAATGTTTTACAAAACCTCAAAAATGTAGTAGTAGCAAACAAGTACATATGAACACGAACATTTTACTAACTTATACAGAGTTCTGTACGTGAACCACATATTCAATAGCCAAGAGAGGGATACTATGCAGCTCTAATCACTCTTATTCAGACAGGTGTCAAGCCCAGAGAAAAGGGGCTACACAATTATACCAGAAGTGGAAGGCTGCCCTTTGTTATCCGTTTCTACAGCAACCAGCTCACAAAATGAGAAGAACCTTCTCTGTCTTATGCCAAGGTTTTTGTATGTACTGTGCTGTGAATTGTATTTGCTTCAAAGTGTGGGACGTTTCACAGGGTGAGAATGGTCAAGTAGCGAGCACAAATGCCTACATCAATTCAAAGAGCAGGAGTCCAGAAAGTTCCCTGCAGGCTGGGGGCCCACCCTTACGGTCGCTCCCTCTGGCTCACACACAGTAATTAATGGAGGATTCAAGGACAGGCCCCAACTTTGAAACAGCTGCAGAAAATTCTTCCTGCTTTCAGAAGTCATGCAGTGACACATACATCTCTGGACAGATTTGCATCATAAACTACAGAGCTGTAACTGCTACAACAGATCAACACCGACTATGCCGCCAGAGTACAATTAGACATTTGCATCGCTTAGAACACATCTAGGAACCATGACTAGCTGCTGGACAGTAATGTGATTCTTTTATTCCAACAGCTCATTTATTTTATTTTGGTCCAACTGGAGCCCACTTATTCATGGCAAGGACGGACATGTACAATTAGTCTGAAGTACCGAGGTGGAGAGAAATGTTAAGGATTTTTCTGTCATTAGACAATGCAAACACACAATGTAAAAGGTTGTTATCAGCCTTAAACCCTATTTTCTAAAATACAGCAATGTGAGAAACATGGACCAAAGCAGACCGAGCTGCAAACTCTGGTCTTCCCCAGACACCTCTGAAGAAGCACCTACTCAAATCTAGCACTAAGAGCTACCACAGCACGTGTTTAGTAAACAAGCACTCCAACAAGCAAAGAAGGTATTCACAACTGATTCCCAACCAGCCTGGAAAACCTCTCCACAGGGCCACTGCTTACAATTCTTTGGTGTTTTGTGACCAAATGTGTCACTTTTGTATACCAAAGAGTTTTTTTTCAACATTTACCTAAGGGTGGGCACTAATGTGTACACTGTACCAATGTGAATGTTTTCTGAAGAACTTCTAGCATTTGCTAAATTCTACAGCAAGAACAGAGAACAATAAGTCCAGATCAAGCAAATGTGGTCAGTGAATTAATATACATTGTGACATTTTAGGTTGTTCCCATTAACTGTGGTTACACAACAAAGCATTCTTATAGGGTAATAAATAGATAAATAAATAAACTTTGGACAATGTCTTTACCTGTACCCTATATACAGAACTATTCCATAGAATTTTCCAGGACTGCAGGATATTACACAAAGAAAAAAAAAAAACTGCAAAACAATTTGGTCCTTTCCAAATTCCAGCAGCTGAGACTGACGTTGGGTAAATCAGATGGGAAGGAGAAAGGCAGAAAGAAGGACTCCTCCTTCATCTCATCAGCCACCAGCTTGACCATACCCCCCCCCACCATGAAACCCCAGAAAAAGGTGGTGAATCTAAGAAAAGTGACCTTCATGATTTCTCTACCTCTGGGATGTTTCCATTTTATAATCCTTCCCTGTCTTAACATTTTAAAAGTCCAGCCCACCCCCACCCACCCTCCAGTTATACTCCAAATCAAAACTCAAAAAGTTTTTCATTTTTGTGCAGCAAAGCACATCCCAACAGCCACAAAATGTGCAAAACATACAACTATTCACACATCCATACACGTGAAGACAACTGTAAGCATTGTTTCAGCATGCAGGCATCAAACAATAAATAGCTAAATCTATAACAAACTTCTTAACAGCCAAGGGAAAGTTTAAAGTCACTTATAAATAGAAAAGAACATCTACCAAACAGCTACCAACAATGTCCCCATTGTTCAGAAATGTTCCTGGGGGAAGGAACAACCCCTTGGAGATTAACGGAGAGTCCAGTGCAGCGGTCCTCATTCTTGAGCCAGCTCAGCCAGCTTCCCTCCTGGCCAGGCTGAAGCTTTGAATCACCAACAGCTGCCAGTGTGGAGGCTTCAAGCTCACTCCTCAGAGAGAGGTGACAACCATTTCAAATTTTACACATAAATGGCGGAGCCCATGGAATCAAATGCTGAATGTGGTACAGCAAGGGAAAAGGTCCAGCTTTTCTCTCCCTTTCAGGGGCTGATTAACGCTGACATTAATCCACAATTACAGGACAAGGACTAGATCACAGGTTCAGTCATTCATATTTAAACCATGTGCTACTTGCACTGAGAATCCCACCCCCTCCCTCACCCCTTTCCTTCATGTCCAGTTAGAGCATTGACAAGGTGCAGCGGATGTTATTCAGTCTTACAGCAACTTCTCCTCCTTTTGTTCTTTCTCTTCATTAAACTTGGCAGCTCCGAAGTAGAAATCTCCTATTGTCTCACTGAGTGATGGAGGGAGCTAAAATAGGAGGAAAAGAAAACAAACAAAAAAGGCATGAGAGATCTGTGTGATGCTATAGTTTCATGATTTTGGTTAGTAGCCATGAAATTTTTTAAAATTAAACTTGGGACAGAGCTGGGCAATGTTGCTTCTTAACTGTATGTTCAGTAGGAACTGTGCAAAGATATCAGAAAGTACTTGCCTTGAGGTGTATGTGTGTATGCATGCACCCTCAAATGGCTGGCCTGACAGTATCCAATATAGGACCCTCACTTCTGTGCTATTATCTATCTATCTATCCAATAGATAGATGATATGATGGAGATACATAGATACATAGATAGATAGATATCCAATAGATAGATAGATAGATATCTAAGTTGCCATCCTGTTTCCAATATTTGTAAAATTTCTGATTAAAAAAAGCCACTGTAAAGTGATCACTTGGGTATCAGAAGGAGATTCCAATGCAAACCCTCCTTGGCCCATTTACCATAAAGGATTCCAAATTAAATTTATTCACCATATAGAAGACAGACATTAATCCTCTTATTTAAATGCATCCCCACTATTCATTATGGCAAACATCAGTCTCGCTTCCTTTCACATGACAACGTACCAGGTCTCGACAGCCCAAGGCTGGAGTTTATTCTTGAAGTTCATTAGTCTACACTCAGAAGATGGCAGCACAGAATGTGGGTTCTATTATGAAGAGAATCCACCAACATCAAGTATGAATATAAACTCAAACTACCAAAACCATGAAGTCTGCATATTTCATAGGAGCTAGCATCTCCTCTCACTACTCATCCTGCCCATTTATTTCATTCTTATTTCATACAGGGAAGTTTTGCAAAGGGCTTCCTAAAAGACTCACCCTATCTGTTCATAAACCAAGACTAGTTTAGGAATCTGTATCCCTATTACTATAACTCTTAAGTACAGACAAAGGGAATTCTGGAGGGACTGCTCATTAACTGCATTAAATCCTTCTCGCTTTGCTTTTTGTGTGTTCAGAAGTCTGATTCATCTGATAGTTGTTTCTTTTGGCTGTTTCCTAACAGTGATCCAAGCCTTCAAGGCATTCCTTAGGCTACAGTGTCATACCCCTACCCCACCTCCTTTTAACCTGTATATCCACATTAAACCAAAAGAATGTATCTTGTAATAATACAAAATTTCAAGACATTGAATACTAGCACAGAAAAATAGAAAAAGTCTCTCCCCACAATACCCAGCCCACCCTCCATGAAAATCTAAGAGAGAAGAAACAAAGCAAATGGAAGTTCAAGTGCTGTCAGGTTGGGGCCAGGAGGCACCATGAAAACAGAGGATAATCAAAGTAATTTCCTTTTTGTCCCTCCCACCCACTGACAAAGCAGCAGGAGACAGTTAAAACCTCCTTGGTGGATGAGCTTTTAGACTAGGGAAGGTTTTTGTTAACACTGGATTAATTCACTTAGCACCTACATTTGGAGAGCAGAGGGATGAGGGCTTCAGCAGTTTCCGCGGGATACCTACTGAGCACTCCTTTAAGTCACTCCATCCAGCTAAAACATTTTAACACTATCTTGTGGGTAATAAACTTTAGAAATTTAAGTCTACATTCTCCCTGTCGGAAACTGAAAGAGTGGCTTTGATCAGGCACTTCTGACACCCTGTAAAAGCAGCAAACCTGGCCCTGTCAAATTCAGTTTTTATGTGCTTGTCTCACTGGTGGCACCAAGGGTGAAGAGGATGTTGTTTCACGTATAACCCTGCATTTTATTTGCTCTGTTTTCCAGGGCCCGGAAGCATGTGCTTAAGTTTGGATACCCAGGACAGACTGAGTTCAAATGTTTGCCAACATATTCACTCTGGGCTGAAAAAGGAGGAAAGAAATATGAAGGCTAAAGATCAGAAACAGATAACGGTCAAAGAAACCTGATTTTCCCAACACACACACACACACACACACACACACACACACACACCACACGAAGCTGACTCCACTGCTGGATCACAGAGCAAGGTCTAAATTGAAGAGAAAAAAGAAAACTAAGAGTACAGAACACTTAATATCTGCCAGGCACTGACCTGGGTATCCCTGTTGTCAACTCATCCAAGTTTGAACTGGGACAGATCTTAGGGAATTATAGTCTCAAACCACTGATTTGACAGAGAAGCAATCTTAAGTCCACAAAGATCTAGAACTTAAAACTAGGACTAGAACCACATGTGGTCTTTCTTTCTGCCTCAATTTCCATACCTTGCTCTAAGGATGCTAGCCAGTCCACCAATTACCTCCACAACTACAGGGAATTTTGTACAAATACAGCCAGTTCTGGACTAACACCTAGTTTAGGGCTGTTAATTGATGCTTTTGCCTAGGAGGTTCTTTAAACCTGCTTGAGGGTTGAGTCATGCATTCATATCTCAAATGAAATAACCTCTTGCAAAGCATTTGTTTGTTCAGGATTACTGAGATGCCAGCAAGGCTACAAAAACCAGTTTGGTATGGGATGCTATTAGCCCCAGTGCTGCCCAGAGGAGCTTTCTGATTGTTCCTGCTCCTTTCAAAGACTTTCATTTCAGAGAAACAAAGCATTACCAGGAGCCCTGTTAACTGTAATAGGCTGGAGGAGATAATTGAAGAATTGGGAAAAAAAAAAATAGAAAGATAAAATGTGAAAGTGAGGCCAATTTTAATGGTGTTTGTAAGTGAGCTATAAGAAATGGGGAAAGAAAAAAAACAATATGAAACCCCTCCTTGTTTAGCTTACAACTAACGTTAGATTCCCTTTTTTCCCTTTGAAGTCCCCTTCAAAGGTACAGAACATGCTAGAGAAAACAGAGCCAAAAACTGCAAAGTAATGAGTTACGTTTTCCTTGTAGTTTCTCCAAATCGGTTATCTTCCCCTCTTGTTATTAGTAATAAGCCCATGAATCACCAAAACAAATCAACAAGTTCTGTGTGCTTTGTGCATACACATGCATAAAGCCATTCCTGGGGCCAACCCTAAGAATGCTTAGCTGCAGAGCAACCATGAGCTTTTCGAACATTGAGCTGTGTGGGCCTATTAATTATTGGAGCCAAGAGAATAATATACTCTTAAGTACACAAGACAACCATTATGTACTCAGATATATGACACAGAACAAAACTTTTGTTAGCCTCAACAATAGGGTCAGCCTGACTGATTAACTCTGAAAAGATATAGTTAGGGGCAATTTAGGTAGCTGGGTGTATCTGCACATCAAACATAATTGTACAATGTAGGTGCAACCAACCTTTCACAAGGACAAACCTAGATCCCTTATGAAGTTAATACATACCCTCAAGGGGGGGCTATACTTTGAGGAAAAGTTTTAAATATGCCAATAAATAATTCTGGAGAGAATAAACAAGGAACAAACTTGAGAAATGCATTTTCTTTAACCCTTTTCAGTCCAGAATGGGTTTGAGGGAGTGAAATTTGAATATCAACCAAGTATCTTCTGGGATGACACTAACGTGAAGCTCAGGTTTATTAAATGGCAGTTTGTCATAATATACAAACTTGTGCTCCTAAGTCAGACTGCCTGGGTTAATTTCTTTTTTTAACATTTTTTTTAGTTGTAGATGGTATCTTTATTTATTTATTTTTATGTGGTGCTGAGGATCAAACCCAGTGCTTCACACATGTGAGGCAAGCGCTCAAGCACTGAGCTACAACTCCAGGCCCTGGATTAATTCTTGACCAACGCTTCCACTTATTAGACTTTGGGCAACTTACTTAGCTTCTGCAGGCATCAGGTTTTTTCCTCTAGACATGAGGCTAGTAATAATATCCCATAGGGTTGCTATGGGATCAAATGGGATGATTCATTTGAAACACACAGCACAAAGCAAGGCCTCAGTGAACACTAGCTGGCATTATTAACAGAGGTCAAGTGTTCCCAACCTGGTGGAATATTAGCAAAGGAGAAAACTTTCTAAAAATACTGATGCCTAGGTCTCACCCCAGACCAGATAAAACAATGTTTCTGGGACCCACAGTTTGTGAAAAGTTCTTAAGAAGATTCAGAGGCTCAACGAAGGCTGAGAACCACTGACTTATGTTATAGGGAGTCAAGGCTGTGATCAACACAGGTGTTTAAGTTCTGGAGGTGCAAAATCTTTCATTTTAATAGTTTCTATAGTACTTCAATATAGGTTACATGGATTGTATCTGACTCCATACTCTGAACTTAGACAACTAACCTAATTAAATGCACACGTCTCCAGCTGAACTTTTGTCTTACCTCATGCTTATTTAAGGATGTTTAAGAAGGTAGATGTTTCCAGGTGCTGACAAACGCAGTAGGAATCAGTGAGTAAGGGACTGTGGTTATGCTGTTCCACACATCTAAAGTTGGATCGTAACAGTCCAAAGTCTTGCATCGCTGAATGCCAAAGTATCCTCCAACCACATAGAGTTTGTTTCCGGAGGCCACAGCATGGCAGCTCATGCGCTTTGCCGTCACGTCTCCCACCTTGGTCCACTGGTAAGTTTCACTATTGAATTTATAAGCAGAGCAGGCGGAGAACTCTGTGTCTCCTCCCATTATAAAAATCTGGTTCCCCAGCACAGCTGCTGCTGTGTAACGCCAGGGCTGGGGACAGGTGGCCGGTACCGTCCACCTATTTTCACACTGATCATAACACTGAACCTTGGGGAGCTTGTCATGACTGACGCTGGTACCTCCGAAAGCAAACAATTTGAGCTTGGCACTCACTACGGCGGCATTGCTAACGCCTTCTCGAAGTGGTGCTACCATGGTCCATTTGTTGGTTGTGGGGTCATAGTGTTCGACTTGCTTTAGAGAGACTGAGGGGGAGGCTGGGAGGCAGCCAGTTGCAGCTGTGTGCCCCCCAACCACATACAGGCAGTGCTTCAGTTCAGCAGAGCCATGGCCAAACCTGGCCACCAGCATAGGGGCAGCTTTGGACCACTCCTCATGCAGGGTATCATAAACCCAGACATCTTTTGAGACGCCATTTTCAGACCCCCGCCCTCCAGTAATGTACACTTTGCAGCCAATCGCACATGCACTGAACTCTTTTCTAGGGCTGGGAATGTCGGCCTTGGGAATGATTTGTTTGGCTTTCTGATCTACCAGATACAGCTTGTCACACATGAAAGTCTGTCCTCCTAGGAGGAAGAGGGCATGGCCAGTTTTCCGAGGCCGGGCACAGAGGCTGGTCACCACGCCATCATTCTGCAGGATTTTCAGTTTGCACCGGATGGCCTCTTCCACGATCTCCTTACTCTTTCTCTGCTTGGTGATGAGTTCTTCCATGGCTACGTTCTCCATGAGGTAGATGGCTGGCAGGAGTGCCAGCCTCACCGTCTGCAACAGCTCTGGGAGGTAGCAATAGCGCTTTTTCAGGTCGTAACTGATCCAGTTAATTGCAGACTCATATACGAGCCTTTCATCTTCAGTCTCGAGCTCTTCGCTGGACAAGAGCTGTACTACCATGTCCTGGGGCAGCTGAAGGAAATCTTCATTCTTCCTGATGGTCTGGAAGTTGCTGAGACACATTCTCCAGGATAGTTCATACAGCTTGGTGCACTGGTGCGCATCGGACAGCAGCAGCATGCCCAGGCAGTTGGTGGGATGCAGGTTCTTTTCCAGGAATTCAGCACATGCATCCCGGATATCTTGAAACTCCAGCATATCGCCAGCTTCCAGGAGCGATTCTGCATTTTCTTCATTGATGATCACCCGGGAGGAGTATGCATAGTCAAGAAGCAGCTCCAAGACTTCTGGGTGGATGGAATTGTCAAAGTTGACCTCACTATCCTGGCTCTCTTTCAGGCCACCACTGAACATGGCCTCAAAGTAGCGGCTACACGCAGCCAGCACTGCCCGGTGACAAGGAAAAGTCCTGTTTCCTGCATGGAGAAGGACATCGGTAAAGAGACGCTGCTGACGTAAAAGGTTCAGGTGAGTGAGGACACTGTCAGCATAGGAAGACTTATGAAACAGATAGATGTTAATGGAGCCGCTGCTGGCCCTGGACTTGCGGTTCTCATGAACGCTGACTGACATTTTGTTTCCACTCCTAAAAACAAAACAAAACAAAACAAAATCATTGAACAACATGTTCCTGATGTTCCCAGCAGCAGACCAAAAGCAACAATTGTTTTGGACAAAGAAAACAACACTTTGTTGTTAACCCTGCTGCCATTCTGAATAAAGGTATAGCCATTCCAAAACAAAGCCAGAGACAACTACCTGGAAGGAAAGGAAAGGAATTCACTGTCATCCTATTGAGCTGTTTCATCCTCTTGAGCTGTTTAAACTATACACTGTTTAAAAAAAAAAAAAAATTCACTGCCTACAAGCAGGTTCATCTTGGAAAACCTGATTGCCAACTCGGAGGATATTGAAGTCCTTGAGAATGTAAGTCAGCAAAGCCAAGGGGAGCAGGTCTCATTCTCAGCTCCTGTGCCAGTCCAGCTGATTCACTGAAGGCCACTTAAAATGCCAAGCCTCCTGCTCTCGTAAAGCCAGGACAGGCACCAGCTGTAATGCCCTATGCAACATAAAACCATGTGTTTAAAAAAAAAAAAAAAAAAAACTACTAATTAATTCCATTAAGAATTCCTTTGGTAAGCTCCAAACTGCATATACAGTAAATGCCCAACTTCTACAATTTAAATGTTAACAGATGCTGGGCATGTAGCTCAATGGTAGAGCACTTGCCTAACATGTGGAGGCCCTGGGTTCAATTCCTAGTACTACAAAAATATACAAACAATAATTTATTTCTAGCCAGACAGTTCTACTGCTACAGAGGTTCTAAATGTACCAACATACACAACCATATATTGATCAACAAGCTTTACTGAAAGCACAGAATAGATTCTGGCCACAATCATCACCCAACTTTTATGCACTAGACAGTTTTCAAAAGGAAGATTTGCCACCAAAAAAAATCTTGAGTAGCATATACTCATGCTGTTTTTCTGTTCTTCCTACTCTGTACCAACTCTTGGAAAACCAGTCACAAGAACAAAGGAGGCATCCACCTCCTCTTATGATTAAACAGTACCTCACCAGGACTATTCTTATGTACCTGCAATTGCTGGCACCTGCATATAGGGAGTTCAAAATGCATGTACTATTTATTTAAATTTAAATAAAAATACACAGGTTCCTATGTGTGGGCACGAGCGCACATGCACACGCGCAGGCACATACACCATTAAGTGGATATGTATTTTGCCAGCTCTCATTCATTTAGGGCCACCTAAATTTATTTACTAACTAAAGTGCTTTCCTCGGTATCTACATTTAAATTAATACAGAATCTAATGCTGTCTTTTGACTTTCTGCCATACGGGAAGTGTTGGGTAAAGATATGTTAAATTCCTATTATCCATCTTTGAAAACTGAACTCCCCCACCCTTGTGCTTTTTACATTACCCCTCTGTTACTTCAAAGGAATAAAGAAAGCCCTTTAAGAACCTGCCTGTCCAAGGATTCCTGAGGAAGTTGTTTATCCCCAGAGGGTAAACTGTGAGGTTGGTTACAGTATCTCTTCCAAACAGAACAGCCAGTCCTTACAGCACAGCTGAAGCAGTCTGTTTTTCCTTCAACCATTCAGATATTTATTTTTTAATTTATATTCCAGGAATTGTTAACAAATACACATGAATGAATGATTTACCAGATTCACGGACTAAAATACTAAACTGCTCTTCCATGGCCAGCTGCGTGACAGCACAGAAAAACAACAAAGGCAGGTGCCCTATGGCTTTGACACTCAGACCACATATTATTAGGTGATGTAACTTGTTTGCCTTAATATTTGGAATGTTACCTTTCATTGTGAGTAAACATGGCTTAGTGGAAGAAAGTAACAAAGTCCTAGAACTCCAGTGTTAGGAAGACTGAAAACACCCAAGAAATGACTAGGGATATGAAAAATGGAGAGCAGCCAAGCATCACTCCAAACTCAAGCTAAGCCTCTACCTTCTAGTCCATTTTTAGGAATGCTCAGGGCTCTGGAGAATGACCGATAGATCCTCTGTGAATGTCCCAGGATTCTGAAGTGTTCAGATATGTCTGAACCCAAACTTCAAAAGATTTTCTAAATATTCCTATGAAGCTGCTTCCAGGCTCCCTGTAAGCAGGTCCACAAGCATTCATGCTTTGGACACTGAGTTGGGAATCCTGCTGGGCCCTGAACATGACATCCGGGGTGGTGTAAAACATTTCAGAACCAGGTGTACACTTAAGAAAACAGTTTGTCTAGAAGACTTTAGGATACAGGATGGGCATCTCTTTGCATCCTGTGTTTATTATGCTGCTGTATTTTCCAGGTTGGCCCAGAAAGCCAGGAGGAAGAAACTACCCTGTCATCTTGGATACCATCCAATTGAAAAAACATGTCACTGTCAAAATCTAACATTCTTGCAGCAATGTATGACTGAAATAAAAGGTACAGTTGAAGACCCAAGAGAAACCATTTGCTTTCTGGTTTAGAAACATCAAAATATCAGGGGAAATCATTTATACAGTCACTAAACACACCTTCAACATGAAATGAATCATTCTTCTGGCACTTTTTAAGCCCCCAGAGACATAATATTTGCATGCCAAAGAAGTGGCCAAGAAAATGCACACATATACTTAACCTGCATCTACAAAGAAGACAGAGAAAAGGGCTGCTATTACTGTGAACATCAAAAGGGCTTCCAGTTACAATAACTTCAGTTCACTCTATGCTCACACAGGAGCTCTGCATCTAATACTTAGCCCCTCTAACGTCTCTCCAGGTTTAAAACTGATCTCAAACCTATCAAAGCAGAAATAGGCAGATGTTCTCAAGCATTTACATTATTGATAACAAAAGTTTTTGTGATGTTCCATTGTTAACAAAAATATATGTTTTATCATATAATCCCCTATAGCAGTTGCAACTCTATTTAACTCGCTGGCCTTGCCGGTGAGGATGACACCACATAGCATGTTCAATGTTTCATCTCCACCCAGCCCACCAATTCCTATCCTTTGAAAATAATGTTACACTGGAAGCCAAATGCTTGCATGATAGATTTTCAGAAACCAGTTTTCATTCATTTCCCATAGACGTTTGGCCACAATGAAGTGCCCGCAGGAGGAGTGTCTGAGCGTGGCCCCAATTCTCCTGAGAGCCGGGTAGCATGCAACGTGGGCCAACGACCCCAAGCGCTGAACCCTGAACGCTGCAGGGAGCCAGGCTGATAACATCCGCGACTCGGCCCCGGCTCCTCCCGCGGCTTGCCCGGGCATTGCGCGGCGGAGGGCAGGCGGGTCGCCTCTCCAGTTAAGTCCAGCTCCCGCTTCCAGTGCTAGGACAGGGGCGGACACCCAGGTCTCCACCCGGAAAACAGCTTCCCACCGGCCTAAATGGGAACTCAGGGCGGCCCAGCGCACGCTCACCCTTGGGAACGCACCCCCGCAACCCAGCGGCCACTGAAACCCACCCGCTAGCAACAGGTCCGGGACAGTGGGGAAAACTTACAGCAGTGGTGACTGGCCTCCGCAAACAACTGGCTGGGTTCTTGCCTCGGTCTCGGGCGTGGAGACGACGAAGCGGGCGACTCAGTCCCGGGAAGCAGTGGCGACAGCCCGGGTGAAAGAAGGGCGCATGGGGCGCCGGCGGGAGAGGGGACCGCGCCTGAAGCACAGGCTCAGGGGGCCGGCTAACCGCTGGCGGTTCGCCTTGGTTTCACGGTCTCCTAGCCGTGGACCGTGCGCGCGGGACCCGCAGAGCGTCTCCCCGAATGCGTCTCGAGAGGGGAGAGCGAGCCTGCGGCTGCAGGCGCCGCGGAAGAAGGCGGGCTGTGGACTCTGGGGGAGGGAGCTAGGAAGCGCTGTGAGCGCCGGCGGCCGCCTGGCGTCTGGACCCGGTCTCCGCAGCGCCACAGCCACGCCACCTCTACTCTAGCTGCCGGAGCAGTCTGCGCCCCGCAGCCGCGCGCCGGGCTATAAGAGGCGCGGCAGGGAGGGGAGGGGAGGGGGCGCGTATGCAAAGAGACTGACACTAAGGGAGGGAGGAAGCGCAGCAACGCAGCCCCAGAAGAACAGGGAGGAGGTTGAGAAGCAGGAGGAGAGGAGCTGGTGAAGAGCGTGTAGGGGGAGTTAATCGGTGGAGGAAGCGGGGGAGGGGTGCTGAGAGTGCAGTGAGACAAAGCGGGCGGACGATCTCAGCCACTGGCAGCTGCAACCCTTAGGGACCGCGAGTAAAATAAGTTTTCCCGGGTTGAAGTGTCTGCGCCTCTCTAGGCCAGCCTAATTTATGAATAGCCCCGGAGCTGAGGGAGGGACCCAAGGTAGCAGAACGCCGCCCGGGGCTGTGGTCTCCGTGGCTCCAGAGCCCACGAGTTGTTCAAGAAAGGGTGGCCATGGGTGAGCTGGGTGTCCACAGCACGCGATCTGGGGGCGCATAGCCAGTGCGCTGGGATAGACACCCGAGGAGCGGTCAGTGGCAAGGGAAGGGGCACAAATCGGGACACTGGGGACACTACAGGTAGGGCAAGACGGTAGGGTTTCTCGCTGGCAAGGGGCCAGCTAGACTGGAGATTGAAGAGTTTCCCTGCGTTCTCCCTCCCCGTTCCCGACGGGTGGAGCCCTCGGCCGGACTCTGCCCGATACCCGGCAGAAGCAGCAGCAGCCTTGGTGCTGTCCGGCCGGCGCGCACCACGTGCTTCGCAACCAATAGCCGCGACCGCTTGATTCAAAGCGAACTCAAAGGAGCGGCCACGCCGCCTTTCTCCATAGCATAAAGTCTCAATCACTCTCTCAGACCTGGCCCTTCCTCTCAGACCTGGCCCTTCCTGGTTTTTTTGGTGGTGGTGGTGATTTTTTGTTGTTGTTGTTGTTGTTTATGGTATTGTGATGTTTAGAAGTCAGTAAAAAAGTGGCCCAGCACGCACACGTTTAATATCCTGAGTGGCCGGCAGAAAGGAAGAATATACGAAAAATAATCTCACATGGAGATCTGTATTCATGAATCCATTTCTCACCTTTGTACTAAGTGGTTGTCTTTCCTCTGGGAGCTAAAACGTTTGTTTGATTTTTATTCGGTATTTGGGATAAAGTTTATCACCTGTTGTCGGGGAAATGTGAATTACCTGGCTCCAGGTCATTCAACCACTCAGCAGTAGCCCAGCCCTGCAGTTCCAGTGCCAGGGCTCCACCACTGAGTTTACTCTGTCCTTCCATCAACCCCCAGTGTTTGTCCCCAGTTTTCTTTAAGATACTAAGCACAGAAATGGTTTAAACTGGCTAAGGAGGCTCCAAACAGCGCTTCCAGAGACCACAAACTGCTGAAACCAAGACTCCTAGTTCTTTTTTTCTAGTTCCACTTATCTTCCTTACCTCTTGGTAATTCTTGCTGTGAAATTTCTCTCCTTGAAAACAAAGAAAGACAGTGCCCTCTGAAGTCCTTTGTTAGCATTAACTCATCAGCCTCACTAAGAGCCTTTAAAAATCTGCTTCCTATTTTAATTTTTAATGCAGAATATTGGCTCAAGGGTGCTTGACAAAGCCAGAAAGGTGATTCATTCAAGGTGGGAACCAGGTGCAGAGGGTCTGGGAGAGTAGAGGTGGAGAGAGGAGTACCAGCAGGCATATAGCCTAGTTCCTTAAAGAGGCAAAGACAAACTCAGCAAAGACCAAAGAGAAACACTGTAGACACCAGAAAAAGGTGCGGAAAAGATGGGAGGCGGGAATGTGTAGCTATTGTATGTATTTTATAGCTTGTGGTAAGGTATGGGTGGAGCCGATAGAAGCAGATTCCCTTGTACCTTCTAGATACCTCCATCAGGCCTTTGTCTGGACTGTATGTCAAAGGCAAATATTGGTGTTGAAGACCATGTGTTAATGTCTTCCAGCGAGGGAAATGTTTTAAGAGGTTAACACTTTTTCTCATTAAGGAGAGATAACGCCCTTTTTACTCCATTCACTTACCAAATCTACCCAGAACTGTCCTGGATGATCCTGTCATGAAATGGTGTACATATGTAGCTCAGTAGGTTGTCTAGGGGTTTTGCCCCAGGAACTATCACACCAGAAGCCACCACGCTAGAGACAGGTAATCTGTTTCTGCTAAGCAGACAGGGCTGAGAGAGGAATGAAATATCTGACCATTGTGTCATCAAGCATCAACCCTTTTACAGTGTCTTTTCTACCTAATGTTGCCATTATTTATGTGTCAAGAAAGAGGGGGGGGAAGTTACAGACTGGAAAATCCTGAAATGTATTCAGTGACCATATACATTCGTTTCATCTGACTCAGGGAGGTTAGCAACAGAAGAATAGTTAATTAGTTAATGTAGGTTGTAAAAACTGGAAACAACTTCCTGCTGAAAGACACAGGAACTAAACTTAGTTTTTAGGAAAGCATGTGTGTTGCTGATGACCTTCTACTAACTATGCACCAACTTGCTTGAACCAATGTATGAAGAGTCTTTGGGCCACTGGATTAATGTTTATTTTGTGGCTAAAAGTGATATGCAAGTTAGTATAATTATGACAATAGTAACTCAAAATATAATTTTTACAGCATCTCCAAGCCAGTCCTAAAGGTAATTCTTATCACTCTATTCACACGAAGAAAAGGTGAGTAAGTCTTGTACCTGTACAGGAAGAAAGCTTGAACAGGACTGTGATTAAACTGGACAATAGTCATAGATAGCTAAGTCACAGACAACTCAGGAAATTCAGCCCATTCTGTATTGTACAATAGCCAGCACTTCACTCAAGATATCAGGCCAGTCTGAAGGCCCCTGGGAACCTGTCTTTGCCTCTGCTTGTGACACCAAACCAAGGTCTCATTTTTTAATGCTATTAGGAAGCTGTGCCCAAGGCTTTGGCCTTGTTATCTCCTTTAACAACGTTATTTTGTTAGGCTGCAAAATAAGCAGCATGGGGTTAAATGTATTAGCTGCCTTCAAACCTAATTTATCTTCATTCCTTCCTAATTTACACCCAGGCTGAATTAATGAGAATGATTTAATTAACACAGTGTGATCACGGTACCAGGGACCAGGACAGCTCATGGGATTAGACCAAATAGTGGGCCAAGCAGCTGCCATCCTGCCTCCTGCCACCGCCCAAAGCCCCACCCAAATTTCCAACATGTTCCCTGCTGGTAATCCAAAAGTGTCCTCTTTGTTCTTTGATCCACTTCTTCTGAGGAAGATGGCCCAGCTTTCTTTGTGCTATTTGCTTGATAGGGTTCACAGCCATGTCTGGTAGACTCAGCGTGGCATAGGGCCAGTGTCTGCCCAAGGTTTTTTGTTTGTTTATTTGTTTTTGTTTTTTTGTACTGGGAATCAAACCCAGGCACACTCTACCACTGAGCTACATCCACAGCCCTTTTTATTTTTTATTTTGAGATAGAGTCTTGCTAAGTTGCCCTGGGCCTGGCTCAGTTTCCGAGGGTGGCCTCAAACTTGTGATCCTCATGCCTCAGCCTCCAGACTCACTGGGATTCCAAGTATGCATCACCTTGTCCAGATGACCAAAGATTTGTACTCCTAGGACTTCCATCATGTCAGATTCATTTGGGGAAGTGGATCCCCAGCCAGGAATGACATCTCCTGGCCACACATATTCCAGAATCAACACCTCTGAGAGGGAGGGAAAGAGTATGAGTAGAGGGAGAAGTTGAACTGGGATATAACTTGCCAAGGCTTCAGCCAGCCCCACAAGGACCTCTGGAGCTGAAATTACCCTGCGGAGTTGTCCCCTGTCTCATCAGAGAGGTGAGAAGCTAAACTTTCATAAGGGCTGTATTAACCAGTTTCTGAAAGCAGGCTGCCCAGGGAAGGGACCACCGGCCTTGGGCAGAGTGGCACTTTTTTTGCAGAAGCTTTTCTGAAGACTAACAGCCAAGCCTTCTGTCACCATTATCCTTACCTGCTAGAAAAATCACTCTGTCCTTCATTCTTGAAGGAGGACCTGAGGGGGCTCAGCACAGAGCTCAGATCAACACTTCACCCTATCAGACACAAAAACCTAGGAAATGGTATCAGCAATTCTCTTATTTTCAAAAGAAAGCAGAGGGTGAGGAGTATCTATCTACCTGGCTATTTATCAATGAGGCAAAGAGAAGGGAAAGGTCATCAATATAAGAAGTTATCTGCATTTTATAAGTCAGTAATCAAGTTTTTTTCCACTCGGGAAGAACAAAAGGTCTAAATTAACAGTAAATGTCGTTAATTTTTATGTGCCATCTTCTGCATTTATGGTTTTTAAAGATTATTGTGTTTGTGTTGATAATCTGTTGTGATAAAGGTAGAAAGTAATTCTTTAAGATTGCATCCACATTGATTTGGTCATGTTTTAAAACTTCAGTTGCTTCCTACGTCCATTATAGGTGCCAACTTATGGGTACTTTCAGAATTAAATTTGATTCCAGTATGCTTTTGCATTTCAAATTCCAGTTGCTCATTGCTGCTATATATGAATACAACTGATTTTTCTATTATGATGGTTAATGGAAAGTTTTGTGTGAAATTCTTTGTTTTTCAAGTATTAAGCTCCACTGTTCACATTGCCCCCCTCTATTAAAGGTTGTTATAGTTGGGAAATTCATTCTTCCTTTGAGACCCCCTCACTTTCTACAGCCTCAAGTGACATTTCAAAGGGTAGACAGTTTATTGGCTGCTAACGGGACTGCAGAGGAACACATTTGAGTCACTTTTCCCTGGTGTTACTCTATAAAGTGTGGTCATTAGTAAATCAAGTGATCTAGACTGGTTGTTATTTCTACTCCAGGACCCTTTAAGACAATGCTCTTCACACCCTGTTGTGGGTTTTAAATTTTAGGGGCAGGATTTTAAAACAGCATTTATTATTTTTCTGATTACAAAAGCAAATGCATGGTAGAGGTTTGGAAAATTACAGAAAAGCAAAAGAAAAACCCTAACCTACCACTTGGAGATAATGACACCAAGTATTTAAGTTCCAGTTTTTCTTCGCCTGCATGGTATTTTATTTTTAGTGGTTAAGTGGTTGAGGGAAGAAACTCTAGAACTGAGCTTGAATTCCAGTTTCCATATTTACTAGCTGGGTGTCTGGGGGTAAGTACTGTAAATTCTTGATACCTTAAGCTACAATGGGGGGTAATAACAATGTGGGGGTACCTGGAAAGAGGGTTGTTTTGCAGATTAAATATATAAATTATGAACAGTAGTACTTGGCTTGTGGTAAGCCCTCTATAATGCTTTCTTTTATGATTCCTTAGTAAACTGTTTAAGAAGAATGGTATTCCTGAACCTATATATATTTCCAGTAACTTTCCTAAAGATCTAAAATTCTTATCAAATTCTTATTCTACTTCTGTTTAGTAGCACTGGGTGAGAGGATACGTTCATCTCCTAGAGGTGTTCTGTGAGTCTCTCCTCTGCCTGCACACCCAGGAAGCTAACAGCTTGTATCATACAAGCTCAAAGTCATGGGGTCTGCCTTTGCCTCCATCTTTTATGGATACTGTCTTCTCATTTTGAACGGGTCTGATATTGAATGGGTCTGAAATTGATGGTGGAAAAATAGTTCTTCACTCTTTATTACCTTAAAAAACAAAACTGCTGTAAAGGGAAAAGTATTTAAGAAACCACATGTTTAAAAAGAAAGCA